TTCGACATTTGGTCATCATTACTGTGCGATTCCAGATGAAGTGGGGATTTAAAGCTAGGATGTCTTCATTCAAGTCCACTTATTGCAGGACTGAACGATGTGGGAAGATGGGGTCCATTAACCAACACCTTTATGCACCTTTTGCAGGCAGCGATTGAATTCCACCGTTGACAGAAGTAATCTCATCATAGATCTCAGGAAATAAAAGGGCCAACAAGAATTTGAAGTTGGAGCCGGTGGGCTGAGCGAATTACTGCCAGTTAACAGATTTTCCTAACTATCTAGGATTTCACTGGGTGAGTGTTCATCCCGCGATTCACTTGTGTGAAAAGATGAACATGTTTCAACTTCTACCCCATTCCCATACACATGTACTTGTCCAATGAAAATTTATCAAAAGCTTACATATGCTCGCCAATTGCCCTTCTTAATAAACAAAGCTAAGATATTCAGAGGTGTGCTAAATCATCACCCCCCAAAAAATTTCGATCTCATGAGTTAGGCAGTACCTGGGATCAGAGGATAGCAAGCTCATGAAGGCGTATCTCGTGGAGGGTGCGGAGGGCTCAGGCGGTCCCAGCTCACACCAGGTCTTCCAGTAGACGCCGTCTTGGCGCGAACTGGAGACGTCCCAGCTCAGGGGCCACCAACCCGTGAGAGGAGCACGATACAGGGGCAATCTGGCCCAACTGTCCAACCAATGGAGGTGCGCTTCCGCTGCCGGGTCACAGGGGAAGGAGCTGCTGGCCGCGGTAGTGGCGGCAATCGTCGCCATCAGACCGTCATGATCGGATGGTAAGCCCGTCCCCTCGATGGCTGCCGGCTGGTTACTGGCTTCGAATGACGCCAGACTGCCCACCCAGGCGCCCGGACGGTAGACCCGCAGAAAGATGTCTGTAGCCAGCTGTTTCTCAAAGTCCGAAAAGTTGTTGGAATAGTAACTAAAAGGGAGGGGGAAGGGGAAGGCAGAGATATAGATTCCTTAATCGTCTCTCCTGGTAGGCAAACGTCTGCTAAGCATCTATGTACTCTAAAATAATAGCATTCCAGGGTTGGCCTAGGCAGCAATCGCAACTAACTTCATAGCTATTAGGAGTGGGCGGCAGACTTGAATAAATCAATTGACCTAATTATGAAAAATTCGCGGCCTCGGTGGGATTCGAAGCTATATCAAAGCTCTGCCAACTGAGCTATGAGGCTCGCTGGACTTCTAATCAATGGGTTGCGGGTTCGAGCCTCGGGTGGTGTACCACTTGGAATTGGGTACGACTTATGGCAGCTAGTAAGTCAGAAATTTTCATTTCAGTCTACCTTTATCCCTGGCTGCTGTGTAGCTCGAGAGTGAACTTCAGGGTACAACGAGACGACTGAGCCCTGCAACAGCTAGTAATAAACGTTCTCCATTATTTCCATAACCCAAAAAAAATCTGGTAGCATTAACGGTCCGCGAAATGACCGGCAAGCGCTGTATCGCGGATGTCACTGCCACCCTGGACAATCGCCCCGGCCGTGTTGTTAAGTTGTTTGAAGGCGATGAGAGCAAGGATATATCCTGACAGTTCGTGTCCACAGGAGAGCAAACTTTCGCGCCGGCCACGCGACTTTGGCAAAGATGGGTCACATATTTTATGGTGCGTAAAAGCGCACCTCGATGATTGGCTGGCCATAATCGAATTGCATTTGCTGTTGTTGCAGGATAGTGAGCAATTGTTCTGAGGAAATAGACATGGTGAGTTCTGAGTTCTGCGTCGCCAAATGTTGTAACAGAAGCCCAGGCCGAGATATCACCGCCAATAACGCCTTGTGTGAGTCCCCAAA